TTAAAAAAGATATTAAACTAAGATATGAAATTAGCCTGTCTTTAAAGAAAATTTTTTCCATACGTATAAAAATAGAATAGTTAATAATCGAAATTACAATCACCGATTCGGAGAAGTAGTGCAATTTTATTTATTTATTTATTTATTTTGGCATAAACACTCGAGTAAAGTAGAAATATCTCTGTTCTATCTGAAATCATGCAACACGCGTCTAATCATCATGATCATCTCGCATCCTCATCACGAGCGGATTCTCCTTGCTCAGAAGTTTGCACAACGAAGTTGTCACCGAATCTGCAAATATCTCTGAACATGCAGCTGAGGGTAGCCGAATACGATGAATCTTACGTTTCTCTCTTCACATCGATTATGTTTCGTACATTAATCTCAGGGAATTCGATCAATCATGCGGATACAACAACAACGATTCCTGTAAACAGAATAATTGTAATTGTAAAAGCTCTATGTTTCTCGTATCTCAAGAAATAATAGGTAATCGTTAATTGTCAAGCAATATCTTGATAATAGTTTCTTGATCGATTGATTTTCTTTTGATCTCATTTTGATCTCTTATTTGTATATGCATGGAATTTGTACAAGAGAACTTCGATAATATTTTATTGGCACGCGATGGAATTCGATGGATCGAATATCAGGCAAATTTTCCTTTTTTGAATTGTTATTTTAAAAATTGATTAAGATGAATTTAATATTATTTTAAGCATAAATAAGTTCCTCCTTAAATTTACAAATAGTACAAATGTATTATTATATATTTTTCAAAAACAATATATATGTATCAGTAGAAAATCATTTTCATTTATGTCACTTACTATTTTATTTCAATATATTATATTTATAAATACATATATACAATTTATGACTTAAAATTAAAAAAAAAAACAATTTTAAACAACATTTTTCACATCTTGTTTCATATGATTTTTATTCTCTTAATTATAAATTCATATTTATAAAATACAATTGCATTGTACTTTATAATCAGAACAATTACTTTTTTAAAAACTCTGTCCCTTTAGTTTTAGTTTCTCATTTTAGTTTTGAAATCTATTTTCTATAGTTTTAGTATATTCCTGCTTGATATTATTACACATCCTTTCTGAAAAGAAAAGAATCCAGTGTAGATTAAAACCAGTGATTGTCCAATATTTACCGAATTCCATTACGAACTAGAACGGCCTTCAAAAAGAATGAAGATTGGAATTTTTTTATTTATCGATGTTCCCTTGTGCCAGAGAGTAGATTAAAATCCTAATTTCGCGTTTACAAGCGTGACGTTTTACGTCTCGATTTTTGTACATAGTTTGTACATGTATATATGCCTCTATATGTCGTTTCGATGTTTGATCCAGCGGTTTCATTATCCAATACGAAGAGATTGAAATCACCACGAGATGAGACCGTGTCACTTGCCATGTGTACAGACGACTTAATTGACAGGTTTTGTAAAGTATTGTAAATTGTGCCGAGTATATAGATACTTACATATATATATATACTATATAAATATTAACACGATAACATATAAATGTTAACACGAAAGTTTATCGATTATTACATGTATAAGTAAGTAAACATGCTAATGTAATGGATTCTCTATTATGTACGATTATTATATCGTTATATATATATTACACAAACCAGCACAAAACAGGTTAACTATTAATCTAATTAATACAATCTGAAATTTCGATATTTATAAAATTTCTGAATCTAAAATTAAAACATCGACAAATTTGAATCAAAAAATAGATAATTATAAAATTCTTATTTGATGATGTTTGGATACTTTCACACCCAACAACATTATCAACGTTCTTTATTATAAAACTTATTAAACAAAGCAATAAGAAACTGATCAGACAAATTGCAAAATTCTTATTATCAATAAGAAAGAAAATCTAGAAAGTATCCAAGCTAAAATCGTATTTTACAAGTACACTTCATGACATCCAATCGTTCCTGTTTTGTGCAAATATTATTTCCACTTAATTCGATCCAATTATTAAGCAATCGCGCTTACAGTGCCGATCTATATTTTTACGAGCCCTGTGCATATATATATATATATTCACACCCGCTTGTGATACGCTTAAGACTATCTTTCCCAGTGAGCATCAATGGTGGGCCTTTCCCCCCTCCCCGGCTGACATAGCGCAAAGTAACGTAAGTGTTCCCCGGTCGATCGCACCTGTCGTGGACACCTGTGTGTATAAGAATTGTACCACCACGTTGTATATCTGGGAAGTGATATTTCTCTGTTACGTATAGTGTTGCACGCGAAACCAGTACCCGTCAACGGCGGCGAGCAAAACGAGCAGCGGTATTATTGCGGCGGTGCATTGTACGAAGATATAATAAAGCACGAACTGCTGGAACATCATGATTCGTCGCACGTCACCTCCAACGTGATTTCTCTTCTCTCTGTCGTAGATAACAATATAGCCGGCGACCGGACAACCGATCTCTCGGTTTTAAGCACGTACACGTACCTTAAATTAACGATTACTCGTGTTATTTCACCCTTCGCACCGACTTACACGTCCATTATGATTATTAAAGGTTTACGGCAGTTTCCCTTCCGATTAATCGATCGGGTCTTGATTGATTTTATTTCCAATCGAAGGTACAGAAGATTTAGCGATAAGCGTAAAGAAGAAAAATCGTGAGATTGTTTGCTTCTGATTTTTAGAGTGTCGTTACTCTTAAGTGGAAGAATTATGTGGCTTAATTTGAACGAGTAAACTAAAGCTAAACTCGAGTGACGTTGCATCGTTCTAGAATATTAAGGATGTTCTATTTACGTTTTCGTTTTCTTTTATCGGATCGGTATCTTTTACCGGAAAACTCGTGCCGTAAACTCGTCGAGAATTCATTGTCCTTGACACCACGACGATCCTTTGTAAAGTGCCAATCCTATACAAGTTATTGCAGTATGCGTGGACCAATTAGGTAACATTTATCTGTGTCTTTGAAACCCATTTCTCTGGCCATTAATATTATATGTACACCTTGAACCTTGGAATTGTGAATGAACAGTATCCAATCGAAGTACCGCAAAAAAGAACAGTGAACGATATTGCGAAACGTTGGATCTCAACCATGGAAATATTTCACGATTATTCATCGATCTATTCATCGATCAGACCTGGCCTGGAAATGAAAGAAATCCACCTTAATCGTCTCCCACACCGAATGAAACTTCGGATCTCACTCACTATATATAAGCACTCTCGAGAGATTCGCCATTTCCACGCCATTCACTGATAGAATCCCTCGTGAAATCGAGATGCAATAAATTTCGTATCAATCACGATATCTTCACGCAGTTCGATGTTTCTTTGCTTGATGGTACGCGTCCTTTTTTTTTTCTTTTTTTTTTTCTTTCTTTCTTTGCATTCTTCCCATAACGAGACACGGGGCACAGAAACCCTACCGTTTTAATCCTGTAACAAGGAACCCTCTCTGGTCCGACACTCGATGGTAGAGCGCAGTTCCAATGGAAATCGAGCAGAGAATTCAGCAGCGTCAGCAGCAGTCAGTCCACCAGACGAGTTGTCGATAGTGCAGTACCTGCTATGTCACTGTGTAGAAGTTGTTGTATCCCCTTTTACTCCCTCGATTCCCATTATTTACCTATCATTCGTCAAACCATTCTTTCCCGATCCACTTTTTAGCTCTCTTTAAAGTAGAACGTAGCTTCCAATGCACGCCGGCAGCCATTCGACCATCAATATTATTATATCATACGAGAACGTTGAGTTGTTGAGAGATCGGGTGAGGCAATTCTCGCGGTGACTTTTCTGGAACAGTGCGGCTTGAAACTCATGGAGAATCCTTCTCTTCCTCTATGGCTCCTCGTAAGATCAGTTTCATACATCTTAACCGTTCATGTGAGATACAAAAAAAAAACAAAAACGGTCCATAGTCGAAGATATCGATCATAAAGGGCTCGTAAAGGAAGGTAAATTTTTCTATGAAACTGGTCTTTAGAATGCCTTCATTGTCTGTCTATTTTTATGCTTCACCATTTCACATATACATACATACACCTGCCCTTTAATGTTTCTTTTTTCTTCTATAGAAATATATATATATGTGGATGGTAGACATTTTTATGTTTTTTTTTTCATTTCTTTTTCCTTTTTTTTTTTATTATTAAAAATCTAAATCGTATATCTACGAGTGATCGTTCAACAGGCCGCATTGTAACTGTAAAGTCTTTGCGGAAATGAGCCACAAAGAACGCGATTTAATAACGTAATATAACTTAATGTCGAACGTGAGTAAACTGTGGCGTTGCTCGACGCTTGTGAAAACGGAACATTGCTCGATCGTTCTTGGAAAATCGATTCTGTATACCCTTCCCTTCTATCTACTCTATTCCTCGAGATTTTCCATTTATTTGTACGCATTACACCGATGTTTATTGAACTCGAATTTTCATGTAATAAGAAAGCATCACTTGATAAATACGTACAAACAGAAATCGATTCTTCCTGCGAAACGACGAAGAAGGTACCGTGGTCTTTGGTTCTCCAAAGCTCGCACCTTGGTGACGCTTTTGGCTGTCGCGAAGCTACGAGCTCGATCGTTTTTTCGTACGATCGATATGGATCGATGGTACGAGGTTCCAAGACTCGACTAGATCGAGAGAGGAGAGCTAGAAAGGAAACTGCATGTGTCACAGCAATGCGCACCGTGAATCTCGGAAGCGTTGACGTAGCGCGACATTCCAACGTAGGTGTTCTTCTTTCTTTTTTTTTTTTTTTTCCTTTTTTTTTTTCTTGTCTTTCAATTGTGTACATCGGGAAGAAAGAGAGAGAGAGAGAGAGAGAGAGAGAGAGGGAGCAAGAGTAAAGAAAATGACAAGAGAGAGAAAAAAATATAGAGAAATCGAGAAAATTCGACCGAGATCAAGTTTTGATGAACATGTTAATTAATCGATCTTCCTTTTTTCTGTTTCTTCAACGCTCTAGTTGTTCAGGATTAAGCCTCTGCCAGTGTTAGTAAGTACCGCCACTTGATCTGGTGTGATTGGACTGCTGTAGTTAGAAGGCTATGCGTTTATTCATACATACATATATTATCCACATTACATTTTGAACACACGCATATTGTGTACCGTGTGCGGTGTGAGTCTGAGTAAATAACGTTACGAACAATTACGCGCAAGCTAACGCTCAGATATCAAGGCAATGCTTGTGATTTTATCGCTCGTGTGATGTTTGATCTTTTCTTTTTTTTTTTTTTTTTATCCTTGCCAATGGTTTGTTTTTTTTCTCTTTTTTAGTTTTTGTATTTTAACGTGTCATTTAACAACTAATCAACATTGACATTATATTCATTCGTTAATTGTGCATATGATGAAGATAATGTCAAATATTGTAATGTAACTTCGAACAGACAAGTTTATTGATAAATTTTGTTTTTTTGAAAGTAAATAATTCATTGGGAAAAATTTTATCAAATATCTGCAGCGAATATATAATAGGATCCATTTAGATTTCTCTTAGAAAGTCTGAAATTTACCCAGACCCAAGCTGCATGATTATTATTCGATCATCATGTCATACGCCATCGCAAGAAAATAGGCTTCCATTTACTTCATTCCATAATGTTTCCTGCATTTTTTAGTTCTTCGTTTTTTTTTTTTTTTTTTCACTCCAACATTTTGCTAGGTGAATATAATTTAAATGATAAAAACTTAATATTCAAGATGTATTAAGTTTCGTAAAATAAAACGTTTATCCCTTTTTTCTCTCCTTTTCACCTTCCTCCACTTCTCAATCTATCTCATCTAGTACACCTGAACACAAGAGTTCTTCTTTTACTGCTAATGTTATGGCGTGCCTCGTAGTCACTCAGAGGCGTAGATGATTGCGCGACCATTGAACCATCACGTTAGATTTAGCCGTAGAGATTAGGCCTGTACGAATATACCAATTTTTCCCAATTTTAATTTTCATTTTCTCTTACGTATTTTACACTCAGTTTCTTTAGTTCTCGAAACGTTTGTCGGAACGATCTCACGAATCTGTCAGTTGTGCAAGAAAATCTTTGCAATTTTTAATATAACTTTGAGGAATGATGAAATATCCTTTAATAAGAAGGAACGGATATAATTTTCTCTATTGAAACTTTTCAAATCTTTTCGCGTATTTATTTTCACATAAAATAGGATATCGTTGGGATGATAAATTGTTTCGTAAATCAAGTTTTTAGTTTGCAGGATTCAGATATAATTGATAGAATCTTTTCAAGAATCAATCTTTGACATACATTTTATATTTTATCGAATATATTATGTAATCTTCTTAGTGCTAGCCAGCTTTTGTTGTTGTAACATTGTTATATATTATTTTTAATACGAAAATTTAAAAATTACAATAATTAATTCAAACTATACAATTTTTAATTAAAATCATATGAATAATTAGCATGAATTTTTACTCATTGATACATATAAACATATTTATCTGAAATATCAATCATCATAGAAATATCTTTAAATTTAAATCTAAATGTGCATGATAAAATGATAATGAAAGTTCCATATATTCAATGATAAAACCATTCGTATGTAAAACGAGTAAAAAGCTCGTATTTTTCATCAAACCATCATTCTTTTCAAACAATGCTTTCACTGAAAAGACTTTCTCGTTAATCGAATACTAATCCAATCTACTCGAACCTTTTAAATGCTTTTCATCTCGAGAAGAAATTAAAATGAAGTATCCCAAAATTACTTACAAAAATTAATTCTCAACAAGTCGCGTTATAATTATCCACCCAAGATGACCCAAAAAAAAAAAATCAAATTTTTGGAATATTCGTGCAAGGCTGGCTCTCACTAAACACGAATTTCATTACTCACTACTCTCCACGTCCCCTTTTTGAATTCATAATGAATCATTATCGGCATATATTCGATTTACGAATGATATGCAAAATGGCATTTTTATTGTCACTCAGCATCATCATCATTATTATTCTATTCCTTCGTATGCCGTATTTCTTATTCGCACATTTACGTAGAGAGCCCGAATGCATACTCTGCATATCGCGCATTTTCAAGCGTGTATACGTGTGCGTATGTGGCGTGCGTGCGTGTGTCGGTGTGCTGTGTACGTACTACTGTGCAGCATCTAGTGCTTCAGCTTATTGTTGGAGAAAAGAAAGAAAAAAAGAAAAAAAAAAAGAGAATGAATGTACAGAAAAAAAAAAAAAAGAGGCGTGTCACTTTGTCCATGTATATGCATCGCTAGATGAACGATCGTTGCACTGGTTTTTAATACGATTTGATAATGACAACGAGATCGTATAATTGTCTACGTTCTAGTGTCGTTCAACTTTTTCATACGAATCGTTGTTACGAATGTACGTGTAAATATAAAACGATTATAGCTTTTTAAGTCGCGTCACACGTGATGATGGACTTTCGAAAACCAGCGATTCAATATTTTTCTTTTTCTTTCTTTTTTTTTTTGTTTTTCTCTAATGGATTGTCAATGATTGCGAATTAATATCGTGCATCGTATCGTGAACGCTTTACGAAATGAGATTTATGCTTGTTGTTTTAATCGAGTTTCTATATAAGATAAATCATTTAGTTCCTTGAATGTTTTTTGAAAAATGAAAATAACTTTTTCGTTTCGAAGTGGGTGAATCGATTGAGAGGGTGAAATTTGTCAAAATTTGAATTGATTATTAAAAGTTATTAACTATTTTATTTTATTAATTGTTAATTGTTTATTCAGAAAAAATTAACTATAGTTTGATAATTTTTATTTAACAAGAGTGAAAATAAAAAATTTTTTCATTTGCTCGCATTGAATTAAAATATTTTCATGGTTGATACGAAAATTAAACAAATATTAATTTTATATTGCATTTTTGAATCTTGTTAATTGAAATTCAAAAATCGTTATATCAGGAAAATTTATATCGAATAAATTTAATAAAATTTAAGTTCACATGAAATTTCAATATTTTATTAATCAAAAGTAAATTAATTTTCCTGCTGTGCCAATTCCAGAAATAAATTAATCTAACGAAGATTGAAATTTGGAAAAAAAAATCTTATTTGCTATCACTTTATTATTTTCATTTTATTTTCACGATAAATTGCATTATCAAAATTGAAAAAAAAAAGAAACATATTACGAAATATATTTCAATACAATTATTTCATATTGTATATAACGAATAATCCAAAGGTGAACATTTTAAAGATATATAATACATTAAAACTACAATCATGATAAGATTAACAATGAAACAAATTGATTCTCTTTCGTAAAGTGTTTTTCGATGCTTGAAACGGTGACTGATTCGTACTACGCATCGATCGCTATTGAAGTTGAATACAAAATTCCATTGTAAATGCCTATTCCGCGTTGCGCTTACACGCTCCAACGATAATCATCGGATGCTATTAAAATAGAACGGAGAAAGATATGGAATGTATTCTCCGAGGTAAATGTTCCCGGCAAAAATAGCCGTTCCATTGAAAGGAAAGTGTACACGCTGTTTGCAATAACTGTCGCCAGCGAGCTTACGTTTGTCGCATTCTCCGCTTCTTTTTCGCAGCGATTTAATTAATTTGCAATAGCAATAGCCTAAGCCAACGTAAGCAGCATCGGCACAGCGATCGATAACGTCGTAGAACGAACGTTTCGCCAACGCGTTTTAGGCCAACAAGTAATTTACCCTCGATGTGATTTTCTATTAACCTAAATGGTTTCGGTGATCTGAGTGCGAAAATTGTAAAGTATCGCTCTCCCCCCTCCCCCTCACCTGAAATTTTAACGATACCATGTCACGATACCGATTTTCTGCACCGTTTAACGTTCTTGTTTTTTCTTCTTCTTCTTCTTTTTTCTTTTTATTATCTGATTTTCCTTTGTGTCTTCCCGCATCATATTATTAAAGATGTGCAGAATTCGAGAAATCGAATTTCAAGAAAGATTCGGATAAGGATCTTTCGGATAATTGTCGGCAATTTTCGGGATTTCGAAAGTCTCGATTCAGGAACGATTCAGAAAAGTGCAATTTCCGACTTCAACTCGATTGTAATCGGATGTGATCGGTCGAAGGCTTTAATAGTCACGTTTCAATCCCTTTCGAACCGATTGTGTTCGATCATTGTCGATTTCACGTCACGATTCGTCCAGAATCAAAAGTTTCGCGATCTCAAGTGACACCAAGAAATTATCGAGATCTAATCCGAATTTTTCCAATTTGACTCGAACTCGTGATCCCGCACATCTCTTTACACATTACATTTCAACAATATTCAAAAACTCTAGATGTCATTTCACCGATCTCATATAGGATCACCGATACAGCAACCAATCGAAACGAATTGTCCGCGGAACGCGTTGAAAAATATTAATATTACGATCTTTCTGCACCGACAGATATTCGTTCGGGCGCAATTTGACTATGATCCGTTGGAGGACGAGCTGATACCGTGCGCTCAAGCCGGAATCGCGTTCAAAACCGGCGACATCCTGCAGATCATCAGCAAGGACGATCATTATTGGTGGCAAGCGCAGAAGGATAACGCGGCCGGTTCCGCGGGGTTGATACCTTCGCCTGAACTTCAGGAACGGCGTATCGCTTACATGGCAATGGAAAAGAACAAGCAAGAACAAGGTAACATTCGAATGAAATATAATTGTGGTCAAATGTGTCGTCATAGATGAGCGCATATGCGTTCAATTTATTTAAATTGTTGTTGCTATTATAGCATAGAGAAATATTCGTGAGAGAAAGAAATAAGGTAGTTGAGTTTTGAGTAAATGTTTTATGTTTAAAATTAATCCTCAGTGGCTGTCATTTAATGATAATGTTCATTTTTTTGGTATTATAAATTATATGGAATTATAGTTTTATAGTGCAGAAATTTATAATATATTCATTACTAGTTATTAATTATAAATTTATTATATAATTTATAAAATTTTTTTTGGTTTTTTTTAAAAAAAATTAATTTATCTCTTTTACTTTTTATTATAAAAATAATTAAAAATAGCTACTGAGGGTTTAAAATAAATCTAGTTGTGTATAACACAATGTTTCGTGATAATAGTTTAATTCGTTAATTAGTAATAGTTTCATTAATATCACTACACCACGAAGAAATAATTCGAAAGTATTCACTTTGTAACTAATATAAATCCCAATTTAAAAAATTGATTTTTTTTTTCTTCTAAGGAAGAAAAGATAGAATTTTCAAACATACATCTTATAATAAGTAACAACATGTCCCCTGAAAATATATATCTTGCACGATTTTTGGGTCTGATCTAAAAGTGCAAAACTTAAATTAACTTATACATATATTATTATAATAACAAAAATTTATCTTCTATTTAACCAGCTCCAAATTAATAATCTCAACAATAATTTCACTTCGTTAACATAAGGTTTAATCCAAGATTTTATAAAATATGCACACATCCAATATTTTCCCTCGATTATTACAATCGAGATCAAATTTAGATATCAAGGCGATTTTTGATCGTATTAAGGAATCGAACATCGAACAGCAAATGTAATTAAATCGTCACAATATCGTTGCATCAGGGAAAGAAACGTTCGCTTCTTTTTCTTTTTCTTTTTTTTTTATCTGTAGCTTAATATCAATACGAGTTTCAGGATAATTATAGGTTCCAGCAGATCGCATTCTGTCTGAATATATCCAGAAAATGGAAAACGAAATTTTTTCGCCGCGTTTTCCCATCACCTTACCGATCCATTATCAACCTTGTCACGTTTGATTCTCCGATTAATCTCCACTACTCTCGCTGCTGCCATAAAACGAATGTGCTGGTGAATATGATGTCATGTATGTGTTGTTAGATGTGCGCAGGTTTTCAATGGAGCATGTAGTATCGTTCGATGTCAGTCACGTCTATCGTGCGATACGAGAAGTCTACCAAGTTCATCTATATGTGTTTTTTTTCTTTTTTTTTTCTCTCTCTCTCTTTGTCTCTCTCTTTATCTCTTACGCTCTTTTTCTCTCCAATGTGGAACGAGTGATTACGAAAGTTGAGTGTTTCAATGACTGATCGTGATTACGGGTAATAAAATTGCGATTTTCTATTCAAACGATTCAGCGTTACAAACTCTTGAATTTTTTTTTAAAGCAAACTACGTATACAGATTAATTTTTTTCTTTTTTTTTTTTTTTTTCATTTTGAGCTACTTCTTCTGATCGTTTTATTCCACAAAATTGCATATAAATGGCCCATCTTCTCGAGCTGATTATATTCGCGATAATACATTGTGGTTATAACAATTTATCGTATAATTTACGCGGGGAGATTATAAAGGATAAAGAGAAGGAACAACGAATGCCATGAAATTTTTTTCAATCTAGACACTACTATAATAGACTACTGTAGATTACAAAAATAAAAATTGTGCACTTGTAATTAATATAAAATGAAAAAAAGGAGTATTAATATTATTTGACATGCACGAGACTTTTTTTTATTAATCTCTTATATTAATATCTTATATCAAATCTTAAACCACTAAATATGAATAATTTTGTTTCATAATTATTCAACAATTCTATATTCTACCAACAAATTACATTACATATCATAAAATCACCAAAAATGAACATTCCCTATTTTCCCCTTTACCCTTCATATAAATAGAAATGTATATAGTTTTATCACCTGATACTATAAACTGATAACAATAGAAGAGATTAGAGAAATAATTAAGAGGATATTAACTGGGAGGAGAAAAAAGAAAATGATCGCAGAATCGTGAATCGTGATAAACGAGACAGAATGATAGATTGAAGAGAAATAATTAGCTTCAGTGATACAGTTATTATTTTGTGTTGTGCGGGGCTAGATGCTGAAGGAGAAGGAGGATGTTCTTCTCACACCGAAGGCTGCGACGGTTCGACAGGTATGACTCTGCCTTCAGGTAGACAACGCGTAGAGTCACGTAGAACCGTGTAGTCCGCATGTAATATAAAATATATACTCGTTCCGTGCTTTCAACACACGCATCAACTTGAGAATGAAGAGAAACACTTTTTTACCGAGGTGAAAATATCATTCAGAATTAACTTGAAAGCTTGAAAGGAGAATGGCTTCGATTTTCTTGGCGAACGAACGAATTAAAGATAATAACACTAAAATTTTAAATATATATTTCGTATGTATCATGAATTATTCACTGAATGCATTTCATCGTCACGAATTACATGGACAAATTAGTATTAAACTTATATATACATTTCAAAATTACAAATTAGTGAAAGTATTATAGGAAGAATAATGGAAAAAAATATTTTCTGTTTAATAAATATAGGATAACGTATAAGGACACTCTTTGTTCTATGAAATTTTGTAAAAGGCTAGTAGATTTTTCTTTTCTATTTTCATGTTTTATTTTAGTATTATATTTTATATACATCGAGTTATATTAGGTAATACAGAACATGCTTTCATGCAGCGTGCTTCAATGCATGCTTTCGCTAATCATTTCACGCACCTACGCTTGTTTCGCACGACACCACTCGCAAGCACATCGTCGCAGCATTGTTATGTTGAGATTTTCAACATAAATTTCCATTACATAAGTTTCATTTTAAATATTAAAAAATTATAAAATATTAAACAAATTTATTTATAAATAAATTTATCACATGTTAATTTTATTACGTTATTATGATACATGTTACTATTGAAGTTAATATTAATATACCCAATTCAGTTTTTATGATTTTATATCTTATACAGATTTCTAAAAAATGTGTAAAAAAAAAAATATATATTGCATATAAAAAAAGAATAGAAGAATGGTACCAGACGTGAAAACCCGATAACAATAGTTGCTCTCAAACAAAACATAAAAAGCTTCATTTAATTTTTATTTATTTTGAATATTTTTTTCATTTTTCAAAAAAATAAGGACAACTGAAACAATAGAAGGTACAGTGATTTCAAACCCCACATTTATATAGCAATTTATATGCTTCATACATTGTATTATTGGATAAATTATGATCTTAAAATCCCAAAACTAAATAAATTTAAATCCCTATATATTTTATATTATGACAATTGCGATCACAAATAAAATTTAGATCTTTTCGTATAAAAATTATGAGGAAGAATCAAAAAGTTTATCGTCAAAATATACTCAGAAGATAGAGAAAACCATGCCATTGAACTTACTTTTTGGTTTATCCCGATATCTCAATCCGTTGCCGAGATATAAGGACTCAAGTGTCCATAATATTTAAAGCGGTTACGAATGGGGCCACGAACCACTGTCCTACATTTTTTCTTGGAAACGTGTACTATATCTTTCCAAGAATCGCGTACTACGTTTTTCTAGGAATCGCGTCTGCCATTTGTCTGGAGTTTAGGTCAGTGAAACGAGGTGCGAGCAAGAGGTCCGAATAAACAACAAGGACAGAAATAGTAAACCATCGAAAATTATCCTTTTCTTTACACGACGATATCTCGGGAACCGGAAGTCGTATTGGAATAAATGAAAAAGCGTTTTAAAGGGCAAAGTTTCGCGCTTCTAATAAGCTTTCATTCATTAACCGAAAATTATTATCTTCGGAATTATAATGATTAAAAATTTTCTTAATTTTTAATAAGGTTCAGTCGAATTACATGGTAGAGATATGTTTCTTTCTGAAGAATTTCTACTAAAAAAAAGAGTCGCCTTATATTCATTGCAAAGATATTTTTTTGATTGATTATTAAAAATTATCTTTAATTATGAAATAGTAATTGTTAACACCAAATGAACAAAATAGCAAATGCAATTTTTTTATTCTTGATTTTCATCTTATTTTTTAGAAAATATTAGATATATAAGATCAAACATTATATCTTTATATTATTTTTAAAATTTTCAGATAAGAATTTAAGAGTTTAAGCTTTACTAAAATTAATTCGAATCATATAAAAACAGAATTGGGCTTATTTTCTGATTTTTCAAAAATATTCACGTAATTATTAAAACAAAATTTTATCTATTGATTCGATTAAGAAAAAGTAAATACTTAAATAAAATTGTATCATTATTAATATATTTCAACTGTCTATTATTCAATCTCATAATCATGCTTTAATCATGATCCGATTTTCAAAATATCAAACACACATACACACACAAATACATACAAAAATATACACGAACTACTATTCAATGAACTACACCCTTAACTTTTCATCTTGTGACCTGCTGGAACACTCATCTCAGTGGGAATCCCACGCCCTCCTTTATGGTTATGGCTTATCTATGTAAACTGGCTGATTGAATGAAATCTCTTTATCATTAGAGAGAATATGCTTACACAGTGATTGATATTTACTTGAAGTAGTTTTTCACTTTTATTACGCGTAAAATGCTGTTTCGAGCATTTAAGGAAGATGCTAATTAGCAATATACATATAGATACATATATAGATTTGCTAAGTGTTTCAATTACAGTCTCTATCACACGTTACACTTTTAATGAATTTCAAGGAACGTACGTTATATGAATGGCATAATTGATACGAATTTCTTCTTCTATTTTTTATTTTCGTATCAAAACGTTTATCAAGTAATTCTGTCGTCGATATTGTATACCCGTTGGGACTATTATTTTGATCATATAGGTTGTTTTATAATATGAGAAAATAACATAGATGAATGAAATATACAAATTTTAGATGTAATAATATTATTTTTAAATTATTTTGATTTAAAATAAAGAAGTCTAATCGAATTATACACAATATTCTTTATTCCTTTTTTTTTCTCTTAATATGTTTGATTTCATATTATGAAACAGTCTCTTTTCTTTATAGTTAAATAGTATATAATTTTTCGTGGAAAAATTGTTACTTAATCGCTAGACAATTATCTGGATTGAATCAATTTTATAGAAATCTTGTATGTTCGATCAATTATTTTATTTGATTCATTTTCCGTGAATTTATTAAAATTAAAAAACCAATTTATTAAATAAAATTGATAACATCTCGTTTTACTAATACATATATTATATATATTCGAATATTTATATTTTATTGTTATTTCAGTTCATAAGAATAATCATTTTTATCATTTAAAATTTAGTAAATATAATTTTTTTTTTTATTAAACATAAGCTTGATAAATTGAAATACATTCGTTCTTTCTTATTTTTTCATGATGAAATATAAGCTCTGAATTCTGCAGAGAATTGATTGAACGTACAAGAATAAAAAATCACTCTTTTACAGGATTTTCAAATGATTGATGCTCAGTTTAATTTAATTAAACATTCGACTAACTAATTTTTTACATTTCCAGTGAATTGCTCAATATTTGGCCGGAAAAAGAAACAGTACAAGGATAAGTATCTCGCAAAACACAACGCAGTATTTGACCAGCTGGATCTGGTCACCTACGAAGAGGTCGTTAAGCTTCCCTGTAAGTATCTAACATCATCTATTAAAATTATTATAATAATTAAATTATTATTAGTTATTTATTTACATACTTGATTGATATTGCTAATGAAATAACGTAAATTGTGAATAAAATAAAAAGAAATATATACTTTATTAACTCGTGAAATAAATGGATTATTATTATTTGTTTTTTATTAATATTTTTGTAATAATTTTTTCTAGATCCTGCATTCCAACGGAAAACATTAGTATTACTGGGAGCACATGGTGTTGGTCGTCGTCAGATAAAAAATACCATTATCGCGAAGCATCCTGATAAATATGCCTATCCTATTCCACGTAAATAGAAACAATCTTATTATTCTATTTTTAAAGATTATTTGGAATATAATATTGCATTCATTAACTTTATTTATTCGTTCAATTTTTCACGAAGTACTTATCTTTTCCTTAAGAATTATTTCAATAATTTATTTCTATTTGCTTGTTTTCACTACATTACATTTCTTTTAATTTAAAACCATCTTTAAAATCTAAAATAAAATTAATATTCGATCAAATCTCTAACTAAGAACACGTACTAAAATTACGTTTATTTTCAGATACAACGAGGCCTCCACGAAACGACGAAGAGAATGGTCGCAATTATTACTTCATATCGCACGATGAAATGATGAACGATATCCATTCCAATGAATACCTCGAATATGGTAAATATTCATATTCTTATTTCAATCTATCGTTCCACGCACAAACTTCATTTTTTAAATCATTTTGCAGGTACACACGAGAACGCAATGTACGGAACGAAGCTCGAGACGATCCGGAAAATTCACGAAGAAGGGAAGGTGGCGATATTGGACGTCGAGCCCCAAGCCTTGAAAGTGTTACGTACAGCAGAGTTTGCGCCTTATGTAGTTTTCATCGCTGCTCCAGTGTTCGAAAATATCACCGATGTAAGTAATGAATATCGATCGTTAACATCTTCCCCGAGGAATCGGGTTAATTATCGTCATAAGATCACCTAATTGAACGATTAATCGACTTTTGACAAGATTACGAAACTTCAACGCTTCCATTTAATTCAATTATTTAAATTTTCTCGCCAACAATTATTCGGGTGACTGGATGAAAGTAAGTGAACGAGATACATTTAGAAGATACATATGTAATTTTTGAATTGGAAAGAATAAATAGGAAAGAAGAAAGATAAAGAATAAAATTATAAATATTAAAAATAGATTATAATAAAAATAATATAATATTCATAAAGTGCTATAACATCAGAATAATATTATAATGGCACTTTATAATAATTAGTTTAATAATACAATTAATATTATAATATTAAATAATACAATATTTTTAACAGATACGTCATGAAAAAAACATAAAGAATATAATTGAATAGTTGAATATTCAAAAATCTAATTACAAAATAAATGTTCTTGAATTTTTCAGATTTCTTTTTTTTTTTCATTCAACTAGATATTTAGCCTTTTACAATACTCGATATCTCCACGAATCTTTACAAAATTGTTAATTTTCCATCCAATAACATTCAATAATTTTCTCAAATAAATATATTGTATCAAATATAACGATACACAAGTAACGTAGAAACAACGAACATTTTAACGAATGTTGCAGTGCGACGGAAGCCTGGCAAGACTGGCGAAAGAGTCTGACTCGCTGAAGCAAGCGTACGGCCACTTTTTCGACCTGACCATCGTGAACAACGAGATAGACGAGACGATCGCGCAATTGGAGGCGGCCATCGAGCGGGTACACACGACACCCCAATGGGTACCCGTGTCCTGGGTCTACTGACAGCGAACCTCGCCAATTCGGCAGATCACTAACTGCAATGGCTCGTCGAATGTGAAACAGTGATCATCGAATCGCGATCCACCGAACGACCGGTCCGTTTGCGATCGTTTTAATGCGGCAACGATAATCTTCTCGGCGTCGTGCGCCTTTAACAATTCACGGTGTTCGTGGGGGATTAGTATCGTGGCCGTTTCGAGGCGGGCAGCCGTGTATAAACACGTCGGACCAATCGAACGAACGAATTTACCGTCAATTCTTCGATCGATCAACAGCACGATATCGACTGGAACGCGTGACTTTGGCCGTGTGTTCATCGACTTTTTTCATTATTATTCAATTATTCTAATTATTATTCGATCGTCGTTATTGTTATCAAGCGGAGAGTGGCGAAGAGACGAAACTGTTATATCACCGAGGCGTATAAATACGACAATCAAAAAAAGAGAAAAAAAAAAAATAATAAAAGGAAGAAAGGCAGAGAGAGAACAGGCATTTCGATTAATTAATAAGCTCCATAGGACTATAATGCTGCTTCCTCGAGATAAATATAAGCAATACGATTTCCACGTGTATAATCTATCATCTCGGTTAAATACGTTCAACGAGTTAAGTAATTAAAATTAAAAAAACCGAGTTCATTTCCCCGCGAATTATAATTATACACTCTCGATCGCGCAGTTTTCTCTCTCACCCTCTTCGCGCGTTCTTCCGCTTCTCTATTTCATTTTCCTCTCCATCTTGTCTCTCTCTTTCTCTCTCTCTCTCTCTCTCTCTCTCTCTCTCTCTCTCTCTCTCTCTCCCTCTCTCTTTCTCTCTCTCTCTCTCTCCATCCCGTAATCCCGTAATCTTCTTGCATTTTTCCTCCAATACATTCCTCGCGCCACGTTTTTTTAGCGCGCGTACACGAATTTATCGCTAGTTTCGTCAGTCTTGTACGGTCTGTACGCAAGCGATAACAATGGTAAACGATGCGAAAAAAAAAAAAGAAAAAAAGGAAAAGAAAGGATGAATCGAAAAGAAGCAACACTCTAAGGTTTGCTCTTTTCGAGGATCAAACTATCGATGAGGTTCATAATGAGGAACGGTCGTTCGAACTGTTCGTGAATGTTGACCGAGTGGACACGCTTGTACCGTTCTTGAAAAAAAAAAAAAAGAAAAAAAATTATAAAAATCTGTCAATCGACTATCCGTAACCTAATAATAATTGCCCCCTATCGTATTCTCTTATAACTATTTACACGAAATGAAAAGAAAAAAAAAAGGAAAAAAAAGAAAAAAAAAAAGACAAATACTAGGACAGACGCTGTTCGATAGTCCGCCGTCTCCGTATCCCACCGTAAATAGTCAATCTTTGTTCGAGTTCGAGAAGGAAATATACGGACTATCGTAACGGCTAGTCGTTTACCTATAACTTTTAAGCAGTAGAGAAACTTCGCCGATTTCGTCTAGTACTTCCAACATCTCTCAACGGAAGGTTCATCTATGACCGTGAGACTCGAGATGAACCTTCGTACGTAACATGTATATGCGCGAGCGCTGTTCTTCCTTGGCCATATTTTCTTTTACTTTTCTCTTCTCTCTCTCTTTCTCTTTCCCCCTCTTTCTATCTCTATCTATCTATCTATCTATCTCTCTTTCTTGACTCGAGGATTTTCGGTTTTCTCCAGAAACTTTCCCGTGCTGTAGTTTCATTTCTTTCTCTCGCCGAATCTAGGACGTCGAATCTCGTGCAACTCGTCGTTGTTGTATCGTTTCTCATTCCGTTCTCGAGCGAAATCAAAGAGCATCGACCGGAATATCGTATAATAATAATAATAATAATAATGAATCTCGTTGTTGCTTTTTGGCACAGAGTTTCGACGCGACGAACAGAACGAACACGTCTTAGACACGGCGTTAGATCCCGGAAAAATCAAAGGAAAAAAAACGTGATGATTTTACGTTCGACACAAACGACAAAACACATGTACACACATCAAACTGTAATAATATCACTCGGTTCGCATTGCACCCTCGTACAAAGCGCATAATCGAATGACGAAGTAACAGAAACGCGGTTTACTATACGATATTTATAACACGTAAACTCAAGTAAATAGATAGTCTACCAAATCTATATGAAATAATACTAAACACCGTCTCGCATTAAAGGAAAATAATTTAAAAAAAAATAAAAATAAAAATAAAAATAAAGTTACAAAAGTCTAGTACACGTACACACATACACACAGTGACACTGAATACACGCGTAGACGCTTACATGAAAACATAACGCAAATACATGCAACATATAATATACATATATATATATATATTTACATATATATAAATTATACAAAAGTTACACTTTACAACGTAAATGGACGAACATTAATACATACACGGACAAGTGTACGCGGATTCACGAGAAACAGATTTAACGACTAGATAATTAATTACAAGCGAATTAAATAAATTAATTGTGTAACTAATTAATACTAAATTACTAGAAGACTAATAGGAGAAATTTGCATATGCAGCCCGTAGAGCGAAGAAGGAGTGAATGCGTGTACGTACGGGTATGGTGTGAATCTAATTGCATTTCGGCGATCTGCGTTTTTGATCGACCCTTCACGCGGCTTTGTTCAGAACTTGTTCAATTACAGCTCAACTACTTATATTTGAAAAAAAAAAATAAATAAATAAATAAAAAATAAAAAGATTAAAAAAAGGACCTCGAGAGGAACATACGCACACACGTATACACACGCAACATGGCACATACGTACATGCATACCGACATACGTAAACATACGTGCATACATTACAATTTGCAAACACGCGTACACATATAGGTTTTACTACGTTCTTCCTATTCGACACACGATATTAGTCATCGAGCGTGTAATTATTCTTTAATAAACGCGATACTTCGATGGTGGAGTTAAAATACAAATGAAAAAAAAAAAACAAAAAAAAGAAATAAAAAGAAATAAAAAGAATCAACAAATAAAGAGAAATCAGAGAGATGCCATCGATCGCGTTATATCGGTATTATACTTAGCGAGGAACGGCTGCGAGAACGTCGACGAGCAGCAGGCCCACCATAAATACGAAGACAAGTCTGAAATTATTTAAAAAAAGGGGAAGGGGGGAAGAGGAAGAAAAAAAAAATGAAAAAGAACATCGCGTGAAACTACGTGAAGGAAAGCTCGTGTCGGTATGATCGTTTTGTGTGAGTGAGAAAACTTATCGAGACGCAAGAAGAACGAATCTTCAGTGATTTTGTAATATTTCTTATAAGTTGTAGCTGCCATATCCAATAAAATTAAGTACTAGGTGCGCTGGGTGATTATCTGACGACGACTGTTGACGATAACGATTCTAATGGTGATGATGGTGGTGTTGATGATGACATATAATGATGATGATGATGATGATGATGATGATGATGATTATGATGATCATAATGATCCTACGTGCTCCTGCAAGTGTGTGTCCGCGACTTTGGATGAGTTACGTTAAGATGTTGAAAGACGACGGGTCTAAAGAAAACAATAACAAGTTCATTACAATTATGTAATTATAAGTAAGAGAAAGAGACGAAGAGTATTATAACACGTTGTTAATTGAATTAATAAAACTAGCCCAAAGTGTCTAAGTAGCTTTTGTTTCATCACCCTTCTTGTTGATCTCTTAGCCTTTCGCTGCGAAAAACAGTATACAGGATGTTTGGATACATGTTGGATCTCATTCAAGGATTGATAAATAGATTGACAATTGATTATCAATTAATTTTTAATTAATCTTTGATTGATTGATCGATCGACGAATAATATCTAAATGAATTTTGTCTGAAAATTAACTGGCAATTGATTATTTTTTAACAAACTATTGATTGGCTATTGATTGTCCACTGATTATCCATTACTCAGTTACCATTTATTGATTGATCACTGATGGACCATTTAGTAATTATTAACTATTTAATTGATTACTCAATAACCATTGACTGGCCGCTCCAACTCTCAAACATCAAGCAATCAACATGTATCAAAAAAAAAAAATTATTTTAACCTGTATACCAGAAACATTTATTATTCTGAGAGACATTAATTGTAAAATGAAAATTTAATGCGTGGAATTTTTTAATAATATGTATTACATTTTTAGATTTAACAATAAAGCTTGTATTATTCCAAATATTTGATATAATAAAATAATAAATTAAATTATTAGGTATGCGGGAAGTATGTGGAATGTTTTTATAAAATACAATTTAAAATTACAATAGTTTAAAATAATACTTATTGTTTTAGATTATTTTAGATAATAAAGCTTTACTTTAAACATATAATCAAATTTCGGATTATTTTAAGAATAGGAAAATATAATGTGGGATAAAATTTATAACAAAATTGTTTTAAAAAATAGTTAAACAATAATTATTCACTGACTTCTATAGGCAAATATTTTGAAACATCTGTGTTATTTTACGTACTGCGTAGTACTATATTATAGATAGTTATATAATTGTAAATATTTATAGTTTAAAACGCAATATTCTTAATATAAGAATTAGAAAGAATGTTATTATTAACCATAAAACTATAGTTTTTATTAATATTAAAAATCTTTATATAATTATTAACAGTATTTCAAGCAACGAAAAGTTTAATTAATTAAATTAAAATTATAACGATCTTTATTTGTATATTACAAATATAAAATTTTAATAAAATTGTTACAAAAAGAAAAATAAAAACCTATGAAAATATAATCATTTATGTTAAATAATAATTAAACAACGGTTATATTGTCTATTTGTAATATTGAAAACATAATATAAAATATTTCTTTCAAATATAATATTATAATATTTAATATTCTTAATAATTTAATGATACAAATATTCTTTTAATGTATATACATATTTTATTCCTATATACAATTGTCCTGATATTGCATAATATAAGAAAAAATTGTATGTCATCGATAATTTCTTCAATATAAGTGAAAGAACAAATGTATAATTTTCAATAATGAAAATTGTCAAATCAATAATTAAATTTTATTACAAAATTATTATAATTTCAATAATTTAATTTTTTTTATAATTTCATTCATAAATGTATAAAATGTGTAAAAATGTATAAAATGTATATTGTTGTTGTTACCACTTATATCACAAAAATTTATCAGATGTTTAAGTACTTAAATCGACCACATAATTTAATCATAATCTATCTAAATCTATTTGAAATCAATCTTAACTTTAAAATATAGTATAATAATATTTCAATAGACTAGTACTGTGATCGTCCTTAAAAGTATGACACTCGCTGAATATTACAATATTTGCGCATAATTTTTTTATATTACGCCAATTTTAATACAATTTTTCATAATTATTTCGTATATTATTATATTCACAAATTTTTAATTAATAAAGAAAATTTACTGAAGGATTTATATAAATCTTCAATATTTCAAAGATGATCATGTATTAATACGAGAAAATATGTATTTATTAATAGATACAATATTGCAACACATATGAAAATAAAATTAATACTTTTTATTATTATATTTTAAACAATATAGAATGAATTAATAATCCTAAGGGAAAATATAATACATTTATTACTAAATATAGTAAGACTAAATATAATAAGATCGTACCTATTTAAACAAATAATGCATAATAAATTTAAATACGTCGATGCTTCCGTTTCAGAGGGTGTTTCCGTGCAGCATTGTTTCTTCTGGCTATTACTGATGGTGGAATCAACATATCCATTTCGGAAATTTCTGTTTTGTTACATTGATTCTGATCCATAGGGAACATGTACTCCAGATCGATGTCATATCTTCAAATAAAAAAAGGATCAAACAATTGATGGTAATGTAACAATTTATTTATAGTATTTGGAATTAATTTTACATTAATACTCATTGAAATTAATTACTAATTAAAACTGATTAACAATAATTGATAGTATTTCCGGTAAGTAATATCACACAGAGAATCGCACTGAGTAAATATTATAAATTATGTAAGATTTAAAAAATCTTGTCTTATCTCTTCTATTATTATATTCTCCTGATATAAAATTAAAAATTTGAAAAGAAATTTTAAACAATTCTTTTTCTTAAAAATTTTCTTTCTTGTATTAGGAGAACATAATTTGATAAGAAGTAAAACGTGAAATTTTTTGAGAAATCGATTATTTGAATGACATCGAGAAAAGTCACAATTTATAGTACAATTAAGTATATTAAAATAAAAATTTAATGTTAATTTTATTTAAACAATTCACTTTGTCCATAACTATGTATAAGAAGTTTCAATATTTCCTGAGAAGGTGGCACCACCAATCAAACTGCATTATTTTACTGTCGATAAAAAGTACGAGAAGCTTGAGCACTTTTCAAAGAGATGGCACCACCAATCAAACTGTATTATTTTACTGTCGATAAAAAGCACGAGAAGTTTGAGCACTTTTCGAAAAGATGGCACCACGAGTTAAAAACTAGAAAAAAAAATTATTTTTATTTTTATTATAATTTATATTTATTTTATTTTTTATTTTTCTTACACTTTCTGAAAATATAACAAATGAAAAAAATAAATAAAGAAATTAGTACATTAAATTCTAAAATATTTTATCATGCTATTTCTTCTTCAATTATATTCTCCTATTACAAAATTGTAAGTTTAAACAAAAATTTGTTCTGTTAGAAATTTCAATTTTGTATTAAGAGATATGATTAAAAAAAAATGCGAAATATTTCTTACATCTGATATTTCATAAATAAATATTTCATGAATTCCAAATATGTCCCAAATTCATTCTTTCTAGAATTTCTTAATTAGAATTTCTAAAATATTTTGAAGATCGTAGAAAATTAATTAAAAGATGACAAATTTATTAATCGACAAGTTTTCTTGTTAAAACAACGAAGTAAACCTGTCAGAATCTTTCAAACTCTTGTACACATTCGGAATATTCTGGATTCTATTGTGGAATGAATATTTCATGAGCCTACATGTGTGGTGTTAGATATCCATCGTATTAATTCAATTCTCGCACAGGTTCAATCGTCAGTTATTCACGTTTACGAGAAATAGGATCGTATTGTTACTCACCTGGGCAACTTCTCGCGTAGATAAGAAATAACGTTAGTTCCAAGACTCGGCTCTCGGCTCATGATGAAGCTCGATAAGTATCGAGGAGTTTTGCTTTGTTCCGCACAATGCATCAACAATGCCCAAGATTTATAATCCGAATCTAGTACATAGGTATTGTACACTCCTTCATCTGTAAAATATGAGTATCATGTGAGAGTTCAACATTTTTTATATTTTGATTGATTTATTTCTTTTTGTTTTATGTGAGAATTTATATATTTCTTCTATAGGATTTGTTAAATGATAGATTTATAAAATATGAAGCATGTGTTTTTAACATCTGTGATTATGAATATACATCATATATAACATAATATAATATTAATTTCATCAAAAACTAATAAAAGTTTAAAACTTGTGAATTTGACAATTTGGTAAGTAAAAATTTTTATTTTTATGCATTTGATATAGATTATGCATATATTTTATATAAAATATAACATATAATTGATTTTTTTCAATATATTCAAATAATAATTAGTTATATACAATTCTATCAGAATAAAATATCTTAAAAGAAATAAAACAAATATAAATCATCTTACATCGATTGAATAGAAAATATGTACATGTTACTATAGAATAGAAAAAGAAGAGAAGTGGGTGAACTAGATAAGAATAGTGTATAGAAATGAAAATATAACATTATACTGGACAGCATAAAAATAATTTATAATGCTATCTGTAGTTTCCGGCTGTCAGTCATATCTTTCTAAAAGAAGATTTCGTCTACATTACAGTTTATATTTGCATTCATAAAATATGCATTAGGTATTATAAAATCATTCTTTTTGCATATTTTTCTTAAACAAGAACAAAAGACTATCAACATCTACATATTTATTCTTCTAAAAAAAATGTATTTTATTTAATAGCAATTATTTTAAGCATTTTTCATTGAAAAATAAATATAAATAAATAATTATATGTGAAATTTCAAGTAATATTTCTGAATCATTTAAAATATCTGAATATTGATATACTTGTGCTATAAATGGAGTTGATTTATTATCTTTCAAAAAAGTAAGTTATATTTTTAAGTATAATTGACGTATATATATATATTTTTTTTTTTTAGAAGATATCACTTTACTATTTTCCTCTAAAAAAAAGGAGTAATCTATGAGAAGATAATTAAAACCCTATTTTTGGATGGTTATCAGTATCAGCTTTCTGTATCAGTATCCTTAATATAATTGAATGAAATATATAAGGCTATTTTTAACTGAATAAATGCTCCGCCATTTTTTTTATTCCAAATAATGGGAAGTATTCGTTTTTAAATTAATAAATTTTTGTATATATTAATCATCTACATCGAAACAATAAATTTCCATCAATATTCTTCCAATATTAATGATAGAATTTTATTAATATTGCCAGAGAATGTTAATCACGATTTACACTTTTAATTAAAATTTATCAAACTATAACAAAATTATAAAAAATAATAAAAACTTCACCATTGAACATATTCTAAATAATATTTACATCTACTAATCACACGTAAGATTCAAGATTATTATTATTATTATTTTTTAATTTTCCTTACCTTATACAGAGTAGATGTAGATCCTAAATTATCCAAAAGTTTATGCAAAATTTAATAATTTAATTAAATTGTTATAAAGTACATATTATGATATATCTTTAATTTGTCGCAAAATTTTCAATTTGCATAGGTATTAAAAAAAAATATATATATATATATTCGATAAGCATTGATCCAAAATTTGAGAATCGAATCCAAATTTCTACTTACACGGATACTCAGCGTGCACCCAATGTGCAGGCAATTCAGGGGATGGTATCTTCCAGGTGATATTGCCAACGAGTTGCTCATTGATAGGATCGTCTGTGAAGCTATAAGTGAAATTCATTGTAACCTCAGTGCTTTCCGGGGAAATCGACAATTCGGCTCGCATGCATCTGTAAGCGAGGGCCTCTTCAGAGCTTGCATAGTACTGCACTATATACCACGAACCGAGGAACTGCAAGAAAACGCGTGCCCTTTATTACTGCATGAGGAAACGTGTCTTCACGGTTAATCCGCCAACTTATTCACGCCTTGTACACTCTTTTTGTTGTTCGCGCTGCAATGTTAATCGAAACGCCTAGTGCTCTAATGGACTTCTGCTTGTAGCTCAGGGAGTAAGTTCTCGAGGAAAATATGTATGTAGATGCGGGAGACGGTTACTAAATGCATTCCACGGAGAGATGTAATTAAATTAATCGTGTTAGTGGCAAGAGATGCCATGTTTAACATTGTTGTTTCATTACAGAAATGTCTTTTGAACTATTTCTATCATTTAATTATTATAATTATTTATATCATTTCTAAAAAGAATATTTTTATTGTCTTAGGTAACCATCTACGTAGATTTGATTTTAAATTTATCACTTCAAATATATATATGTATCCTATTTTTATTCTAAAAGTAGATATATTCGATAAATCGTTTATTAAAGTTCTATACATGAACTGCAAGGAAGATAAATGTGTGTTGCAAAAGTTTCTTTAGAAAAGAGGGTTTTTCTTTCTCTATTAAGCATTTAAGACTTCATGCCAGGTTGAGACTATGTATAGACGAAGCTAGATGAGTGAAATAGGTACAATTTGTAGATATATGCACAGTGTAAAAAGAATCTGAAGATCAATTTTATTTTCTTGTATGAAAAAAATCTATATCTATTTTCATACTTATATTTTTACCACAATTTTGGTAAAAATAATTTCCTATTTTTAATACACGTGGTTTTATTATTATTATGTTACAAAATCGAATATTTAACTCTTAATCTTCTCTATTCAAAAATAACTTTTATATTTCGAACGATAGATAGCGATAGATGGTCTATTGTACGAGTGATTTATGCGAGAGTGGAAAATTCGGTATCCCAGTCCAGTGTAAATGCTGCAGAGAGGTTCATCGGTGTTTACGTGAGGCAGGTCATGCAATCGTTGCCGCGGACTGTCATTTAGTTTGGCATGCAATGCAAAACTATCTCCCTTTCTACCTCTCGTGTATTCATCCTCTTGCACGACGATCCATCTCTGTCTTGATTATCATTATTTCAGCTCCATGTCAATATTAACACGTCGTGAACGAAGGATGAAAATTCACAATTCATTCGTTGTTGATTTTTTCCAAGCATCAAATATTCAAAGCGTGTTTTCTACTTTTTCTTTCTTTTCTTTTCTTTTGTTTCTTTTATTTTTTTTTAATAATTTTGATTAATGCAAAAATTAGATAATTTTTCGAATTTTTCGAAATGTTGAATAGAAATACTTAAATATAACAATTATTTCAGAATTTATTTAATGTGAATTCTATGAGATTAGTTCTGTCAGGAAACATTGATAGTGTGTATCTAGAGTTTGAAAATTGACTAAGAATAAGCATCGCGTCAGTGGTTTTTGGGTTATCAATGAAGCTGAACGATTCAGTTCATTGCCTATCTGAAAAGAGAATTCCAAGGTTAGAATAAGAAAAAATAATTATCTCATATGTTGTCAGTCAACAATAGTTTACTATAAATAAGAATCTAAGTTTGCGAAACTAAATCTAAGTTTCTTTTATATTTCAGAAAATAGATTTTCAAACGATCATTAAGAAATTATAAAAAAAATCACATAAGGAAGAGTAGATCAATTTTTGTTTTAAATGAAAAGAGAAAAAAAAGAGACGAAAGTAATGAAACTTTTTTCTAATTTCATCACATTTTATTTATCCTTCTTATTTATCCTATAACACATTATCTCTATAAAAAAATGGATCTCTTTTATATAATTATTATTATTGTGAATCTATCAGTAATCTAATGAAAAAAATCAACTCATAAAAATAAATAAAATCAAAGATCAGATCGCAATATATATATATATAATTCCTAATTTAACGCAAATAAGATATTAACTTCAAGATATAATTAGATCGTATAAACTCAAATATTTATCAATTTGTAAATAAAACAATGAGATCAAATAAATCATATGAATTGCCAAAATTGAAAAAAGAGAGAGAGAGAGAGAAATAAGAGAAATAATTCTATCTAAAATAATAAATATAACGGAAATATACAGAAAGGTATTCAATGGAAGCGAGCAGTTTTATATGCACACAAAGTATGTCCGAAATAGCCTTCCTTTAAACACGCATAAAGTTCCAAAAATAAATTGCCTGGAGTCTTCCTTTGAAAGAAATTCGCGATATTTTACGCGAGGTCCTTGTCTTCCCCATAACTGCACTCTTATAGAATAAAATTCCTCAAAATATCGATTCTCAAAATTGTTCCGGGTCAGTTGTTTGTCCATTTATTTATTTAAAAAAGGAGAAAAATGTTTAAAAGAATAATATAAAAATATCAATAAAAGACTATTCATACTTGTAACTAATAGTAATTTTCGATACTCGTCATTAATTATTAAAATTACAAATATTAATAAATATCAAGCATTTTATCTATTTTACATTGATAATATGATAACGTAAGTTGAGAAACACTGTTGGAATCACGAAAATTACAATGAAGTTTACGTTTGACTAAATTTCTTCGATTAAATATCGGAGAATTTCGTTTAAATGAATTGTAGACACTGAACATCTTTTGTGATGTTAAAATCATACCGCAATGCCACGAGGAAATTGTAATTCCTGTTATTCTCATTCCAATCGGGAGAATTCAACAAACGCGTTCCAATTGCGTTCCCTGCAATTATTATTATATATTCATCGTGCATATTGATCGGATATCCGTCGTGATCGTCTATTTGTGAAATCAGAATATCAACGAGATACACGTAACTCGATGTTCAATGATTCTGTCGAAGCAATTAGGGAAAATTCAGCAGTTGATTATCTACATTAACATGTCGCTAACTTGCTATATTTGATCACAATGAAGCTTCTCGCTGTGCAAGAAGATATCAAGAATCATTATAGTATTTTTTTTATCAATTTATTACACTTTGAATCTGTACATCACATATTTTTTCCGATTCATTTTTATTCTTGTTAATTCTGGATAATTAAAAAAAATTTCTAAATCGATTTTAGAAAAGTAATCTTCAGATTTTAATATTAAAATTTATCAAAATAATGATTTATATATGTTTTCTTTTGCTTTTGAAAAAATTAGTGTTATTATTTGTAACAATAGAATCATAAAAACATTTAATATGATCATAATATAATCATACTGATTATTTTTTTGTTGTATATAGTCATACTTTTCATTGTTACATTATTTAAACAAAAAACAAATATAACAATCTCGAAAATTCTTCAAAATTATTCAAAATAAGAAAAAATAAACTAACGAGACATCATATACATTATCTATCCCATTTCCATTTCATTTTCAATTATCTATTTACAACAAGCACATTACAGACCACATTGATTCAACCAAACAAACTTAGAGAAAATCACAAATCAACAAAAACCAACACCCGCACTGCAAATATATAAATTCCACGAAGAATTCATCGCCGAATTACCATCGACCAAACAATAATAACGAAACAATGACTATGTCGCGAGAACGTACCTCGGATATGTCAAAATTTCTGATTCCCTTTACTTTAGGACACTTTGTCTTGTCCTCCCGCCTCTTCCACGTAGCGTCCACGTTATAGCCTATGAGGAACAGTAGCGCTATTATCGTGGAACAGAATCTCGCACGCTTCGTTCCGGGCTGCATTTCTCTCGGTCACATTCAACCTCGCCTCTATCCGGTTGGCACACACGCGGTGCTTCTCTTACTTCTTCGCTCGATAGGTTCGCCTGGTCGACTAAAGGCCACCGAGCCGGACAGAATGAAGAGCGGACGCGCTCATGGCTACCACTATCTTGACAAAACCGAGAGGGGGTGGCCACTATCACGTTCCTCCCTTTGCATTCTTCCACTCTTTTCCGTTTTCAATCGGCAACTTGTTCCGTACGTCACGCGTACGTACGATCCTCGTAACTGGCGCCAGCCTAGGCTCCACCAGGACTTTGTTGATCGTAGGCGTGATCGCCGTCACGGCTAAAGAAGGGCATCGACTGTTAGACCACCTCGTCCCGCTTACTATCCTATATACGAGGCTCTTCGCGGTTTTTTATTACGACGTGTGTTCAAGGTAAACCGCGAACAATGTTCGCCGGAGCTTTATATCCGGTCCGGTGAGCAATGGTGATCGATATATGCGTGTATTTCGTAACCGAGATAGTTTTATTGGATTTTCTTTCTGAACGAGAGAGGAAGAAAGGAGAGAAAATTTTTATTCGTTAAAATACGCGTAATTTAGTATCTAAGATAAATGTAATGATTCAAGAAAGGGTATTGTAATAAGTGTAAAATCTTTTGCAGAATAATGTCCTCACTGAGATTGAAATTAAATGTTAGTAAAAAAAAAAAAAATTCTAAAAACGAAACAAATTATGTAAGTATGTATATATATCTAGATATATGATACATTAGAATAAATTAAATTCCGTTTTAGTAAATTTTCAAAATTTGACCGAATATTATAGTATGATTTATAAAGGTACTTAGTTTTATGTAGAAAAAAATAATATTAAATTTAAATAGTTAAAATTCGGACGGTATTTTCATATTATAAATATTTTATATGATATGACTAATATGATTTTCAGTATCGACAATATCTTTCACTGTTTTAAATGATTAGATATTAAATATTAATGCAATTTTATACAAAATAATATTATATCTATGAAAAAAATAAGATATGAACAAAAATGAATTTTTTTTTTAATTTTCTTACATATTAAAATTATTAATTTTAAAAAAATAACGAATATTACATACTATATTTAAAAAATTTACTTAAAATTAAAAAATAATAAAATAATTATGTTAATAAAGTAATATGTTCAATAAGCGCAATTCATTACATGAAAACAGTCTTAAAAGAATTCATTAAACGCATCAATTCATTAATCGCAATATTTTTTCATTGTGATAAATGTATCTTAATTGCCATATAAATTGACGTACATTTAATTAATATGCATTTTTAGACTTGTATATTATGTTCTTCTCTTTCACGTTCATTATTCAAGAATCGTTGTCAATAAATAATTCAGTGACAACAGTAACAGTTCACTGAATAACTTCGACATACCATCTCGTCGCACGAAAACGTGTTTGAAATAAATCATGTTTCATTTATATGATTCATGAAATACGTGATGTAATATTACAAGTATTCTTTCAAATAGTTTGTACAATTGTTTAAGCTAAATTCCCACATCTGTTTCCCATATTCCAAAATTGGTTTGTTTTTTTATCAAGGATAACTATGAATCATAATATAGAAAGATTGGAAAGCATTATTTATGTTCAAACAATTTTAAACTTTCGTATATCTTTATTTTCATGACTAATATTTCTAAACTCATAAAAATTGACAATAACCTTATAGAATAGCGAATGGTCCAGAATGGTCGTAACGAATTAATACATTAAAATGTATTATCAAAATGTTATCAAAAGTAAACATTTTGTCGATATGTTTATCGATAATTCGTATTATTTTATTGTAAATTAATAAAAAATAATTTTTTATTTAAATATAATAAAATAGTACAAGATAATAGAAACGTCTAAAATAATTTTAACGAATATATATAACACTGACTATATAATTGACGAGAAAGATACGCGCTTTATCATTTAAGTTTTTTTATCGAACATCCTTTTCCTTTGAATTATAGTCGGAATAAAATAATTAATATTATAATTATATAAGTATAAAAAAAGAAAAGATTATCATATATGAAAATATTATATAAGAACACAATAGCATAATTAAAAATGAAAAATATATTTCATTTAAGTAAAAAATATTTGTTACATTTTAAATATATCTAATTAAATGCACTGTATAGTTACGATTTTAACATGGTCCACTTTATGAATGATTTACATTATATCATTGTACATGTAAAATCATTTCCATGGAGGTTTAACTTTTTGTTGCTCTCCTTTTATGGATATCTTTTGTGAAATTGGAATGAATTCACTAGTTTCCTAAGTTTATAATATATAAGAAAATCAAAATATAATATTAATTAATTAATTTAAAAAAACAAAATAAATTTACTTACTTTTGATATAGATTGCCATTCAATATGATTTTCATCTCTAATATCACATTCCTTTCTTAAATAATGTTTTCTTGGTACTTCTCTACATGTTAAAGATGGACTAGAAATACTTCCCGTAATTTTTGAAAATTCTTCATTTGCTTTCTGCATTTCAGCAATCTATAAAATATCAAATCTTAAATTATTTATATATGTGTTAAAATTAAATAGAACTAACCATTTTCACATATTTTCGGAGATCATCTTTTGATTCTTTTCTACTACTTAATGGGGTTTCATCAATTGATGTATTCATATATTCATTTTGATCACAAAACTTTCTCATATCTGATACGTGCGAAGTTAATTTTATTGGTTCTTGAGAAATCTTTGTATAACAATTTGGCATTGATTCAGACTTTTTTGGACTTCTTAATTCGAATAATTTTTCAGCATGAATTTTTTGAAGCGGTGTCAAATTTTCCATATTTCCACCTATAAATATATATTAAATATATATTAAGCAAAATTAATAATAATATTATATGAATAATAAATTGCAATAATTCTACCTGATATAATTTGTAAAGCTTGTTGCCATTGATTTTGCATTACTGAGTGAAGCTGTTCTGCAAGCTGAGATTTAGTAGCACGTTGAGAATTAAGTTGCGATTCTAAGAACGACGACTTCTGTAAAGCTTCTGCTAATTGAAGTTCACATAGTCTTTTTTCTTCTTTATGTTTTTCTTCCAATAAATTTATTTCTAATTTATGTCTAAATATAATTGATATAAATTAATTTATGAAATGTTTTATTTCTTTTTAAATTATCATGAGAATATAAAGAACATACTTATCTATAATATCTTTAATTTTTCTAGCTGCACATTCAGCAATAACTTGTTGTCTAGTTTTTAATTCCTCAAGAAATTCTGATTCAGCAACATCAAGTTGAGTTTGAAACTCTTGCAATTTAACTTTTACTACTTCATCAACTTGTTTTTGATAAATTTCTTGTAATTCACATCTGATTTTTTCTTTTTGCTCTGCAAGAAATCTTGTTTCGTCTCTAGCTAATTTCTATAAAAATTATTACAAATTAATATTTATAAATGCCGAAAAATATTATTTATTTTATTACCTCAGCTTTTTTGACATCATCAAGAGTTGAAAGTAATGCCGCATTTTTTTGTTCTAAAATTGAATTTCTACCATTTTCTTCTCTTAGTTTCAATTGTAAGTTTTCTTTTTCTTGTCTAAGTACAATCAATTCAGCTTCACAAGTATCTAATGCTTTATGAATAACATCCATTTCATTTCTAACTTCTCCACCTTTTAATCGTTCCTTTCCTAATTCTTGTTGAAGAGTCTTTAATGTTTCTTCAGATTGTTGATTTTTTTCTAATAATTTATCATATTCTATTTTCAATTTTTCATATCTATTTTCTGCTTCTTGTACAAATGATTTATAATTTTCCAATTCGTCGGCATGATTTTTTAATAATTCTACTTTTTCTTTCATTGCAATATCATTTTTTTCCTTATATCCAGCTGCAAGATCTAAAGCTTTTGATAATTCACCTTCACATCGTTTGATTTGTAATTGAAATTCTGAAATCTCTAATTGATGTTTTTCTGTTACATTTTTAAAATTCGTCTGTAAAGCACTGTATTCATTTTCTAATATATTCACTCTTTGTTTTAATTTAGACCATGCATTATGAAATTGTGTTATTAACTCATTTTTTTCATTATCTACTCTAAGTGCTACTGCAACTTTCTCTTGTTGCTCTAACAATCGTTTTTGGAGTTCTTGAATTAAATGTTCACAATGCTATAAAAAATATTCTAATGGAATATCTTATAATTAAATATATTCATCAATAATAAACTTTCATATACCTCTCGTCGAAATTTTTCTTCTTCTAATTTGATTCTATGTATTTCTTCTTGTGTTTTGTTACCATTATTTTCCCAAAAATCTGATAGTGATAAAAGCCTGGGATTTGCTAAAGTTCTTCTGTAAAAATAAAAATAAAATCATATTATTAATTCTGATTATAATTCTGATATTAAATTTTTTTCTATCAATTATATATTAATATTTATAATAAAATTATTATAATAAAAAATACCTTGATAAAAAATCTGTATTTGTTGAAGCATGAGCAATATTTCTAACAAGTGGTACATCACATGTTTGTTTTATGTTATGTTCTAAATTTCCATTTTGTTGTAAACTTTTGTAAGGTTCTGGCAAATGCAATACATTATATTCTGTACTTTTTGTTGATGTTGCAGTATTGCACTGTGTTGATTCATCATGCAATGAAGTATCTATCTTTTTATGCACATTACGTATTTCAATATTATTCATATTCACTGAATTCATATTATTTACATTATCTATACTTAAAGGCATTTGTTGAGTAACTATTTCCTTATTTTGTACATCATTTGCTTTTGCAATTGATTTATCAATACTGCTTGAATTTGTATCTGTGTGTTCTACTTCTCCAATCTTTGAAACTTGACTTTGTATACTTTGTTCCCATGTTTTAAATTCTGAGATCATTTTATCAGTCTCATTTATATGGAATGAATCACAGTATGGTAAGGATATATCAGCAAGGATATCAGATTTTTTATTAGATTTTACTGATAAAACATCATGACATTCATTTGAATCTTGTGATTTAAATTCCAATCGTCGATTTACAGAATTTTTATACATATTATTATATCCTTTTTTAAAATTGTCATTACTATCATTAGTTAATATATTATTTTGTTCCTTAAGACAATGATGCATGGAAACCCTGTTTATCCTTTTTGACAATTCTAATTCAGTAGCCTCCATCTCTTGAAGTAACTCATCAACTTCAGAGAGTTCCATTTCTGGTATGTTAGTTTTAGAACTTGACTGTGGTTGTTCTGTT